ATCTCGCGATTTCACTGTTTTATGGAGTTTAGTGTGCTTTCTTCTTTATTGCAGAAAATATAGTTAAAAAAAATTAACGCTTTTGACTAAAATTATTTAGCTTAAAATCCACGTTTTGATTAGCTTCACCGAAATGTATTACAGTGTTACAAAGGAATATCATGGTGATATTCGCGATTTCAGTCCCGGAAATAGATCGCAACGATGGAGTCGCGCGGCAGCAGTAACGGCGGCTAAACAATCGCATTTGTTTGGAGAAGGTTTCCTGCGGCCTTGGTCGACGGTTATTTCGGACGGGCGGCCTATCCTACGAGCTATTGTGTATCGTAGATTCGATTGATCAGAGAAGGTTTATCGACGGCGCACCACCACGCGCCCATTGTAACAGAGAAAAATTGCACTTGCAGAACAGAAGCGACATTTCCAGCTTCGTATACGAGCTTTTAACTGAAAGTTTACAACGCCGTCTGAAGCGATCAGATCAAAGAGAATCCGACGGCTCGAATTTGATTTTCTCAAGCGTTTGAGCACAGCTATTGTTTACGGGGGCAGGTGAAATGAATTGGCTCTCCGGAGATGTGCATTTAGACATCGCATTTAGATTACAGATTATTATCGACAGTTTTGAGAAAGACGACGGTAATCGTAGTTATGCCAAAAAACATATTCACCGGGCACCCTCGCGTGTTCACCTGCCTAGACGTTCGCGTGTCGTCGATTACATAAACGAGTAGCGGTATCGGAACGGCGACTTTGGGGAAAAAGAATAAAGGCGGAAGCTACTTCTAAAACTCGATCAAATATTTCTTCGGAACGTGGAGTTTCGCAAGTGTTTCCTTAACGCGAGAAATCGTTAAAAAAAAAAATAAAAAATAAAAATTTTTTAAATGTCTAAAAACAAAATTGAGATTTTCAATCGTGAGTAGTGACGTAACCAGTAACACGTGCGATCGCGAAAATCGATAAACTCGCGACAGATATGGATGTGCGGTACACTGCACGGCGATGATGTGTGTGGTTTTGTCACCTGAGCGTAATCTTAAGAGCTTGCCGCCAAGGCGACAATCTAAATAACGAAATGTTGCAACGCAGGTTTATTGTTTATTGTTTTCCAACATTCACGTGGACGTTTCAGCTTCAATTTATTAGCCGATCTATCATTTTCGCGAGTTGCCGAGTGATCCACGCCACGGGAGATGTGGTTTTCCAATGGAATGTTCGAGTAACTACTTTGAAATTGAAAATCACCAAATTCAGAATCTAATATTTTATTTCGATAATTTTATTTCATATTACTATCGATGGATGGACACTTCGTGCGTGTGCGTTAATGCATAAAAAATTATTTTGCTGTCTTGTCCGGCATGACTAATGGTTTCGCCATAGTTCCGTTAAAAAGTGGAACGTTTTTGCGATACGCGTGCGTTTATGTTCACCGTAATTAACTCTGTTATCTTCACGACTTTTATCTATTGGTGCAATTAACAAAATGCAACTGAAAGCTAGTTCATGCCGCGTTTGTGGATATTAATAACGAATTTTTCTAAGTTTTTAACAGATTTTACTTTCAACGACTAGAAATATTATTTATATTTATAATTATTTATCATATTTATTATTATACATGTATTTATAATTTGCAATAAAATTGCATTTACTTACGCTTTATTTTTCAAAATTACAGGCTACTAATCATAAATTTTTCATATAATTAAAATCATCTAAAATTAAGTAATAAAATTAAATTAATAACTTTTATCAAGACTCTTTTCTTTTTTTTATTAGATTATTTTTTTATTACAAGGCAATACGTCAATGTGCAAATTAATTCTTATTTAAGCTTATGCGGTTTCTTGAATCTAGAAATCGCATTCATTAATATAATATGAATTTATAGAATTAAGAAAAGGAATTATAAATCAACTTGAGAACTGCCTAATCAATGGCATTATTTGTCAATTATTAATTACTATATATAATAAATATATAATAATTTGCCGGACCAAGAAAAATTGTTTGCATTAAAAAATAATTTGCGAATTTGCAAAAAGTATGAATTCTGGAGACCTATTTGCGCGTGAGTCGCGTCGAAAATCGCGTATTTCCGGTACCGCGAGCACAGCACAGTGGCTATCGCCAAAGGCCGGCTATTGTAGATAAACGGGGGGGGGAGGGGGGGAGAAGGGGGGAGAGGAGCAAACGAGGACGCGGAGAGTGCGAGAGAGAGAGAGAGAGAGAGAGAGATAGAGACGCGGGGATTACGGAAATGCAGTTCTCGATGAATGAATGGATAAAATCAGGAAGACTCCCCCGTCGTCCCCGGCCTGATTACATCGTACCCGAACGAGACACGCT